CCCCAAAACCCCAAAACCCCAAAACCCCAAAACCCCACTTGATAACTTTCGTATTGATAAAATAAAAATTTATATTAAAATGAAACAAACGAGACATTTTAGAAACACACTCCGAGTTCTGTTCTATCTATGAATGATAAAGGATATAGCAAGCATCTCAGAATTCAAGAAAAGGTAAGAAGAAAGATAACTGACATTAGAAATATTCAAGCAGAATGCAGTAGCCAGAGCGAATTCAACATTGGGTTGGAAGATTTTGAGAGAAAACTGATGAGAGTGAGAAATTATGGTAGCTGTAACATAAATGATGCTCATTTGGGAGCTGGAGGAGACATTTATATCAGTGGCTACGGAAACTCAATTTCGGGCGAGTTCTTCTTTCTCAGAACAGACGAAGATTTCAATGTCCAATGGATGCGATCTGACGGAAGCACAAAGTTGTTTATCTCAGTCGATCCATTAGAGCGGAGAGTCTTTGCAGCTGAAAATTCAGGGTCTTCTTGAGGTAAAAGGCTTGAGGTAGAGGATTTTAAATGCGCTAGAGTATGGGGTGTTTTTGGGAAGAGGAAAGATGTTTACTTTCGATAAACTTTTGTTTAAAAATTACATTAAAAATCTTAATAAAATAAAAACTTTTTCAAAGATCTGCAAAAAGATACAACATCTGTTACTCATTCTCTTCCCAACTCCTATTGCTTTCCTTCTCTTGCTAACTCTGCCAACTCCTTCAAAACCTCTGGGCAAACTCTAACTTTTCTAGATCTAGAAGAGATAGATGCAGCCACAGGAGATCAATACTTCGAATCTAGAGCGTAAGATGACTGTGCTTTGTCTTTTCAAGAAATTTTATGATTTAATGAACTTAGTGTTATTGAGAGGGGAGATTTAGGACATTTAGACTGAGAGTGGGTTGGGTGTGGGCAGAGGAAAGCTAGGGCTATGAATTTTGCATGAGATAATTGAGTGAGATAGGAGTATTTTATGGTAAAGTCTTTGGGGTTGATAAACTGACTTTTAATATTGGATGGCTTCTATCGAATTAAAACATCATATGTTATCCTATTTTGAAGACCTGCCAAGCCATATACTCCCCTGACTTTCCTGTTTCCTTTAATTTCCTTCTCCACCTGTGCTTTCCTTCCTCTTACTCAACTCCATGTGGTTTTTTCTTATGGCCTTTATATCCTTTTTACTTGAGCTAGAACTTTTGGTGGAAAAATTCAGAACAAATCTGTTTGGAGTCGAAGTCAATGGGGTTTTAACTTGCTTATAGAGGAAATGGAGCTGTCTCACAGAATTATGTTGGAATGACCTTCGAACCTGGTACAAATACTCCAATCTACATCACATCAAATTCGCTAGGCTCCACAGTTGATATTTACGCTAAAAATATCGGGAAATCCACGGCTCATACCCACAATTTCCCTTCTTCTAAGCGAGTCGGCAAAATAGCCTATGTCAGTACCGGAAACATACTAGTAAGCACCCTCAGCCACACTCTGCAACTTTTTGTGCGCTTCACTCTAGCACGCTATCTCTAAAATGTTGTTTTTCTCTTTGTAAATCCCCTAATTCTTTGTTCGAGAAACGCCCAGAGTTCTTCTTTGGTGAAGAAATAGAGTAGAGGTAAAAATAGCCTTTAACCCCATAACCAATGACTCACTTTCAAATCTTCACTTCCTCCCCCACTTCTTTCTCTTGTTTGTATTAGCCTTAAGCTGATCTCTGGCTTAGCTATCAACAATCTAACAAGACATAGGTGCACCATATGGAAACTAGCACAAAGAAATGTTATCTGTCCCTTTTGACTCTCAATCAGCCCATACCGAATACTAGTTTCAGACACATAACTGAATATGAGTGCCCATACGGCCACACTTGTACTGCAAATTTTGAAAGGTCAAGCATACTAGTGGATCCTGATAATAGCTTAGAAGGGTTTGCATTACTTGAACTTGTAGATACCGATGATTTAGTTGCATACTTTATATTTGTCCAGGTAGACCTTGAAAATGAACGTGTTCTTCAGCACTATGTAGCCACGAATGCAACAAGCGTTATTATTGGAGTTGGAGGGACTATTGAAACAATGTATAGTATGAGGGTATTTCAAGGCAATGTTTATTTCTTGGCAGGAGTAAAGGATTCTTCAGGAAATATTGGCAATTCATTACTGCTTTTTAATACAAGCTCGACTCCTGGATCTTTTGAAAGCTTACATCAATGATCATCTGATGACGGAGCAACGGTAGGAATGAGTTAATGAAATGCATTTTTGAAGATTATTTAGACTCAATGTCAAAGTCAGTATAGCACAACTAATACCTTCATTTCAAACGGAGGTCTGCTGACCCAAATGATAATAAAGTCGGGGTAAGCCCACTCAAAATTGCTGCTACACTTCTTTAGCCATCCTCTTCAAGTCCTTAAATGAGGGCTTCTAATTTGTTGGTATAGAACCATCATTTTCTTCGGATCTTATGACTCCAGTTGTGTACGGATTAAGTCACAGTTAAGTAAGTTAAGAATTCAATGCTCATGAGCTATTAATAGTAATTGTGAAATTTGAGATGTAGTGGTTGTCTAATCTTCTTAGTCATGATACTATAACTGACCAAGCATGATGGCTTAGGATTAGAAAACTTAAACAGGCTGACTTGTGTAGCTTGCGAGAGTGAAAAGCATATTTTAGAATTTAAAAATAGTACAGCTAATTATCACCTCTATTGATATCTTTATGACTATTATAATTCTTTCTCTATTACTTCCTATTTCAAATCCAATTAAAAACTTCAAAAATTCGCATTAGAGCCCTCACCTGTTATGCGGTCTACTCTTTAAATTTCCTGACCTCACTCCTTGATTTATAATTTCTTTGCTTGGGCTTTAAGAATACAAATAATCAAATTATTTAACCAGAACCAAGGTTCGATACCTAAAGGCGAAGGGAGGTATCAGCCTGGATATCATAAGTACGGCAAGAAAGTTTGAGGATAATTAAACTACTCAATAACTGTCATTCTAATAAACACCTGTAAAGTTCTCGTACTTCTCTGGAAATTTACGAAATTTAATATGATACTTTTCTCTTGACAATCAATCCCTCAAAGCTAAGGTTTTGAAATTTAGCACTAAATTTTTCTAGCTTCTCTTGCAACCACTCAGGACTGGTATAACTCCCCAAGTGTTACAAAGGTAATACTTTTCCCTCATCCCTAGTTCTTTACAGATTTGAAGCCGATAAGTATCTTTGGAACAACAGTCACTGAAAATCAAACAATCGTTCACAATGATTATAACTCTTGGACAGGAGCTAAGACTTGGACGACTAGTTCTAATAAAGAAAGTAGTATTATAGATCAGAGTCAAGTAATTTTTGAGTTAAATATTTAGTCCTTTTATGTGGAGACTCACATAAGCCTTGAAATTGATAAAGGACAAGAAGAAAAGAAAAATATAAGCATTGCATGAGATCAATAGTATTCTTCTCACCATCTTTAGTGATATCTTCAGATTCAAATACAGCATCGCAAATGCGAATGATGATGAAGTTTATGATATACTCAAGATTGACAGTAGCTCAGGAGAACTAGATATTAATTCAACAGATTTTGGGACTAAGGACAGAAGTATATTTTAAAAATAACATATAGATTTCACTTTAGATATAAGTAATGGCATAGAGAGTCTTTCATTAATTTTGAGCATTGATTTTTTTATTCTTATTTATCCCATAATCTTTAGAAATTAGCTCCCCTTATCTTCAAAATGACATTACCATTCCGGCTGAATTAAATGAGGTATATTCTAGTTAAAATTATAGGTCCATTTATTTGGTAAAACTCTTGAAACTCAGCAGAGAGTAACTAACGGCGTGCTTGGAGCATCTATAGCTATTGGAAGCATATCTGCATTCTCACCCAGCTCAGGATTCAGTGGTCTTTGGATGCTTATCAATCAATATCAACTCTTGATGCTTCTTACAATGGTGGGGACAGAAATTCATCCTGACGTTAGGAAGATTATTTACTCTTCGAAATTCCTAACATTAAATCTTGAAGAAGTCGACATCAAATCTTCGCTTCGAATTTCTCAATTTCTAGAGAAAATGAAGAGGAATCAGACTAATCAGGGACTTGATGAACTAGGCTTTGGTAGTATCTCAACTTTTCAAACAAATATCAATTTGTTTCTCCTCTTCATTCTCATTCTTATGATATACCTGATTTGTGTATTCTGGTGCTGCCTTTTCAGAAAATGATTGAAACTAAAAGCAAAGAGATGCCATAAGAGAAAAGAAGCCAAGAGAAACCAAAATAATGAAGGTCATAATAATAATGGCGTAAGATCTAACAACAAAGGTAAGCCTTCATAGATCAATTTTACATAATAGTGTATAATATCAAAAGTTGTATTTTGCAAATGTCTGATAAAAAGTTTATTCATAGAAAAAGTAATAAATAATAGAATTCGAAATAAAATACCTGCTTGATTTAGAAGAGCTAGTTTTTTTAGATTTTTATAATTTTAGACGAGAAATTATACTGCCAACTATCAAGTTCCACATTTTTAGATATTTGTGCGTTATTAATCCCTCTTTATAGGTCTCACAGAGAGTGTCAATAGTACAGAAAATAATTATAAGGAGAATTATTGCCACATCTTCTGAGCATGATGTTGCAAATGCTTTTGTAAGTGCTTATGAAAATGGATGTGAAAGTGATGATGCAAGAAAGTAAATAAATGGTGTCGTGGAATAACCAAATATGCTAAAGAGTGGCAGCACAAGTATTTCCCTCACAGATTCTTCATGGGTATTTGTATGAGAATAATGATCGAGACTTTGTTCATTATATCTGCCACTTCTTGAAATGAACTGAGCATATTTGATGACACAGATTATTATTCCTCTCTCTCAATTAATATTGCAGCTATGTTGCTAGTTTTATGAATTGTATTTATTTTGTTTCTTTTCTGTTATTATTTTAAGCACAGAAATACCAAAATTTCTGACAAGAACAATGAATCAGGAATATATTTTGAAGGTAAGCTTTATTCAAAGAAGATAAAATTCAATTAAATATAGAATTATTTTCGGAACTCAAACCAGGAAAAGGAAGAATCTACATCCCAATATTGATATTAAGGATATTCATCTTTGTATGAATTGTATTTCTCTTGCCGTTTAGTCCTGAATCAAAATTAGGAATTATATTCGTTCTTCAGGTAAAGAAATTCATTCTTAAATAAGAGTTTTTCACACTAATGTCGAATGTCTGACACAACTTTTTGAGATAATTTATATATCTGTTTACTAAAAACTCCAAGCTAAGTATACTTAGATTTTATCTTAAAACTCTAAGTTTGTTTCTCAAATCCATAAATGACATTTAATATCGAGCGGGTATTCTAAATGCATTCATAACCATTAGTATTCTAATATAATTCATGACGTTTTATGTACTGATCAAGGATTTTTGAAAATATGACAAATTTTGCTTGCTCTAGGCTAAATGAACAATTTATTTCCACTAGCAACTAGAATTTTCGCATATTTTCCTAATTTATTTCTATCTGATATCAGGAGAGTTTTATATAAGAAACATGATTTCAAAAGAAGAAACTTTCTTCTAGAATGCTGTAAAGGTTTTAACTCATTATATATTTGGTGATCAGAAGATGAGCAAGTTTAATTTATAGGAAATACTTACATAGAGCCAATCATTAGTGAAATCTTGATTAGAATATTTTAAGGTTGATGATTTTGGCTCTAAAGCTTAGTTATATAAAAAGAGGCTCTTATATATTCATTTTGTATTAGATTAATGTTTCAAGCAAAATAGTATGAAAATTTGTGAGTTCACAAGTTTTCTCATCATTTAATATAAATCTATAAAAAGTTATCTTCTTATTACTCTCAAACTTAACCCATATTGAGAGGCAAAACGATTAAACATAAATGTGTTACATATAGTTTTTGTACTGGCTTCAAACAGTGGGTATCAGAAAGTTCACCAGCGGATCCCAATCTTTCATCAATATCATGAATGAGTTTACCTTTTTGATAATAATCTTCATTTTTGCTATGTGGAACAAGAGAGATAACTGGAAGGAAAGTAAAATAACTTTTTGATTTTCTAGCTAACTCTCCAACCATGAAGGAAGTCGTGATGTATATCATTTTTTGAAATACATTCCTAATGGTTATCATTCAGACTGTAATCAGAAAACTAATATATAGGGTGCTCTATTACATAAGATCTATAAGTGGTACAAGGAATATTACCCGTCAGAGTAAGTAGATTTTGTGGTAATAAAATAGTGAGGATTTGTGGAAGGCAAGGGAAATAGCAGGAGTAAGTCATTCTAACTATTTTATTCATTTGCATTCATCTTTTTGTATAGTGTAATGATGAAAGCAGCCATGAAAGCAAAAAGTGAGCATCTCCTTATAACTTTATAGTTCTAAAGGTGTAATTTCTCTTAATTCATCTTACTCTAGGTCCAAATCTCTGGACAGCAAGTATTTCAACATTACAACATTTATGAAGAAGAGAAAAATCATTCCCATCAATGTTAATTAATCCTCCAAAAATTTCACTTCAACTGTTGTATATCCTTCTGGGGTTTTGGGGTTTTGGGGTTTTGGGGTTTTGGGG